CACAAAAGCACTTTGACAAGATCTGATTCCTTTAGATACTATTCAATTTGAGGGAAAAATCATGTATGAAATTACTTTGCCTAGTGAAGTCTCGATAGAAATGCCAGCCTAGCCTTTCCTGACAAATAGTTAAGCATCTCAACTTCTGGACAGTGTAAGGAGTCCCATAATGATTGCTATAAGGCTGTTTTCTTAATGGCAACTTTGCCTTTTTCCTGAGCCTTAAAATGAGGAAAGTATTTTTTGTATACTAGACATAAGCTTTGCATTAAGGCCTTAATGAAAAAAAGTTTCTCCAGTGGCATCTATAAAACATTCTTAGTTCTGGTTCTGAAGTGATGCTGTAAAAATGAGTGACCCATTCCTCCTCCAGGACAGTTCTCTGTGATTAGTTCCAGGTGATTCGATGATGCAACATAAAAATCATGCTGTGAGTTGGAAACTCTGAGACATCGGTTTTCCTGTCTGTTTGATCTAAATATTGAACCACAAAGGGTACTACCAAAAAACTACCTGCAAAATTTCCTCATGTCATGCCTATTTCAGGTAAACCTCTCACTTCTTCCTCTGTCACCTGTGATTGAGGGAAGAAACTTCTGCAACATCCTCTGAGATGCACACAAATATGAAGCCCTCTTGAAAGATGGGTATGGAGTGCTATTTGTCTGCAATATGGAAAGTGATTTGTGCAAAAGAAATTCTGATTTCACTTAATTACCTCACCTGAAGCAATGAAGAATGCCCAATAATTTTCTCTGTAAGTTGTCCATATAGCTTTTACAGCAAATAGGTTTGCATATGCATATTTAGGATATCTTCTTTTTTTTTATTTTTTTTTTTTAACAAGTAACAAATTGAGCAGTGCTGCTGCAAGTTGAATCTGTGGGTTTATGTTCTCTGTGTGAAAGCTGGATTGGTGTCAGTGAGCTGTTGAAAGGTTAGGCCACAGGAGGTGGTTCTCCTGTGACAGAAGACAGGCAGTTTAAGAATTGACTTTACCTCTGTTCAGATGCAAGATCTGTTTCGCTACATGTTTTTCACTCTATTCACTGCAGTCTCTTTCAGTTGCCATTTAAACCACTTACTTGTGAGGTCTCACAGAGCCACAGAATATCTGAGGTTGGCAGGGATCCACAGCGGTGGTCTAGTCCAATCCCATTCTCAAACAGTGACCTACAGCAGGTTGCACAGGGCTATGGCATATGAAGTTTTGAATTTCTTCACAGATGGAGGCTCATCAACCTCTTTCTGAAAACCCTTTTTTTTTTTTTTTTTTTTTTTTTTTTTTTTTTCTTATAGTTAAATGGGATTCTCTGTATTTCAGTTTGTACACAATATCTCTTTTGCTGTCCCTGAGAAGAGTCTGGCTCCCTCTTCTTCACTCCTTTTCATCAGTATTTATGCACACTACTGAGACTGCCCTGAACCTTCTCTTCTCTAGGCTGTCTCCACTTCTCTTTGTGTGAAAGATCCTTGAGTCTTCTAATCAACTACATGGCCCTTTTCTGGCTCACTCCAGTAGCTCCATATCTCTCTTATATCTGAGGGTCCAGAACTGGTCACATCACTCCAAAGCTGGTCTTACCAAGTCTGAGTAGAAGAGAAATATACCATCCTTCAGCCTGCTGGCACCACTCCTCTTAATGCAGTCCAGGAGGCTGTTGACCGTCTTTGCTGCAAGGATGCAGGGTCTAACTACTAGTTTGGAATGCCTGCCATACCACTTGTCTTCTAAAAAAAACACTCAGAGATACTTTCCCTCATGGAATTTTTTTAACCTTCATGGGCAGGGCATTTGATTATAGTCAGAAAGGTGACCATTTGCACATGTTGTCCTGGAGCTTTAGCTGTTTCTGTGTTTCCTGTGGCTTTGCCTAGAGGTGTTGGGAGTAATGTTGATTGAAGCTACTTACTGATTAGTGATTATTTTGGCATTCTCTGACTTCTCTTCTGTCAAGGAAGATGTTATGGTTTGGATGTAAAAGAAGACAAAAAGACCTAGGTTTATCACATGAACAGGTTCAGTCAAGTGTGTCCTTCCCCTGTGTTTTCTTGGAGGATTCAAAAGCAGGCTTGTCAACAGAAATTCTGCTAATTTCTTCTGCTTTTACCTGTAACCACAGCATCTCATTTGTATGCAAATGAATTGTCTGGAGCCTCCGCTGATGACCTGCTAAAACGAGATGATATTATCCAGGGAATGTTAACAACAAAGCCTAAAGTATAAGATGAAGAACAAATGAGATAGAGAAAAAAAAAGAAAAAGCTTTTCTATACCAAAAGTAACACAAGAGATCTGAATGAAAATGTAGTATAAAATTTGCCTTCTGATTATACATTTTCTTCCCATTGTCATCAGCGATGACTGATGACACAGTGCAGCATTCTGTATATCCAGAAGGCGACTTTGAAATCAGGGTGAATTAAGAGTCTGTGAAGATTCTGAAAAGATATTTTTATTCTTGTAGGTGTTCTGTGTGTTGAACAGCTGCAAAATTAAATGCCTAAATTATTCAAAATCTTACTCTTATCTAAGAGATAGAAGAAAAAAGAAGTCTGCAGTTTCATTCCTTACATGATGAGCTGAACTGAGATTATAACCTAATGGTAGCCTAGAAATAGTGCCTAGAGGGCAAAAATAATCTCTTTCTGCTGCTGAATTCTGCTTTGTAAGTAACTAGAATATTACTCCATCTGGGTAGCTCTAAGTGGAGAGAAGTAAAAGAGATAACTTTGATAGGCTATTGAATCAAAATAATCTTGATCATCAGTGGAAATAGTTGTTGAGAGGAATAAAAAAAGATGTTATTGGCATTGGTCATCAGTGATTTATGCACTGTAAAGCTGCTTAGGAAGGTCTCTGCAATAAAAATGTGTGACCCAACTAGTCTACATTGCCTTTGCACTTGCTATGAAATCCTAGCTTGCTTGCAATTTCATTTAGCCCTTCTTGCACCCCAGGAAGGAAATAATCACATGGCCTGAGTAAGTTTTCTCAAAAATGGAAATTTTTGTGTATTTATCTGACCCTGCAGAGGATGCAAAACAATAGTAGAGGATGGCTGGCAGTAGTTAGGGAGTATTAGTATTCCAGATGGGGTTTGTTTGGGGATGCTGGGTGTCTTCCTCTTTGTATCCACAGGTTTTCTAACAGAATGGAAGTGCCAAGAGGCTTGTGGTTAGCTAACTGAATGGGAGTGAGTCATGTTTATTGTTAGTGTTTTCCACCTGGCAAAAATAATCTGTAACAACCAGATCTCATCAGGCTTAAATCATTCAGTTTCCCCATGCTTCTCTATGAGAGATATAGAGGGCTCATTTCTCTATCACATTTTGGGGATTGGAAGGTTACTTTTGATTCAGGCATGCTTACAAGATAGGGCTCTGGGGAAACATGTGACTCAGAAAAGAACTGTGGAGGGGAAAAGCCACAGGATCTGCTCACCTTTCAACAAATTACTTGGTGGTTCTTAGAAGCAGTAGTTAATCCAATACCTATCATAACTGGGGCAATTCAGGAGGAATCATTCTGACAGGTTACAGATTTTTCTCCCTGTAGAAACCAAGCTTCCACCATTGCCATCCTGAGAACTAAAGAGGAAAGCAAGTACAAACTCAGTTCTCTGTCCCTGTTGAGACACTGAAGAGATAATTTGTAAGGGAGGGGGGTAAGGGGTTGGGAAAACCTCTTCACTTCACTTAACCTCTTATAATGCCAACAAACAATTATTTGGAAGGACTTTGACAGTGTCTCCTTCCAACTTAAGCCTTTGAAAAGGCCAGATAACTTTGTCTTATGCAAGGCAAGAGATGTTAAATATGTATGTGTGTATGTACATGTGAGTGTGTTACAAGAAGACGGCATCAGACTAACTCAGTGAAGTCCCAGTCAGCAAGGAGCCAGACTGGCGTAATCCTGATGCAGGAGAAACTAAGGACAGTAAACAGCTGTCTACAGAGTTCTTTCAGGGTGAAGGTACCTTTTTTTAGTGAATTATGGAGTGTGTTTTCCTTCTCCATGCAAAGACCAACACAACTCCCAAGAGATATGTCTTCACCATGTAATCAGGCTTGATCCTGCTGCAGCCCTCCAGTGGCCTGATGATGAAGTACCGCAGTCATTGCCCTGTCCTTTTCCCCAGCCCCTGCCTGCCTCCCCAGCTGGATGATTATCAGTCATTTGCCAATAAAAGTGCCTCTGAAATACAGAATAATAGGCCTTTATGCAGCCCTGTGGGGACAGAGGGGCAGACAAGAAGCCTCCCCAGTTACATATCTGTTCAAGGGGTTTGCACAATAACAAAGAGCTGGCTCAGGAGCACACAAGGTCTGAAAATTTGAGACAAAGGTGCATACAAGTGTAGAAAGAAGACCAGGCAGAGCCAGGATCCCACCTATGTCCTAATCATTAGACGCAGGGCAGATAAGAGAGATGCAGAGATGCTGCTTCTTTCTGATCCATGGTAGGAACCTAGATAATCTTCAATTCGAAATGTTTGCTAATGCACTGTGCTCCTACCTGTCATGGGATGTGTAATTTCTGCCAACAATTAAGACTATAGTAATTTACTCCTGCAATTGATAGTTCATATTCCTTTCCTAACTCTGATTTAATACTTTTCTGGATGTTCCATTAAAGACCCTCCAAAATAAATCTTCAGTCACTTGACTGAGCTGATAGAGTGAGAACATTGTGTGAATCGCACCTTGCCCCCTTCAGGACTGCAAACCAATTGTGTTGCTGTCAAGCAAGTCTATGGATGTAGTCTGTTCCTCTCACTGCTGTGCTTCTACCAGTGCCAGGCAAACCAGCTTGTCAGGCTGAGTGCTTTGCCCACCTTCTGCCTCTGTGAGGACGTGCCTTCCTCTCAGTGGAAGGAGATTAATTTCCAGGTGCAGAGGGAGTGGAAGGAGTTCCTGAGTGTGGGAAAGGAGAGAGCTGGCATCAGCATGGCTTCCCACTTTCTTACAGGGATGACTTTCTCTTGTGCTTTCTTTAGGTGCTACCAAAGACATGGGGAAGATGCTGGGTGGGGATGAAGAAAAAGACCCAGATGCTGCTAAGAAAGAAGAGGAACGACAGGAGGCCCTCAGGCAAGAAGAGGAAGAGAGGAAAGCCAAATATGCCAAGATGGAGGCTGAAAGAGAAGTTATGAGACAAGGGATTCGAGACAAGGTAAGGATCTGGCTTTCAGCACACACTTGGCAACTCATAATGCTTAGAGAGGAACTATTGTTTTCAGCTGATCTGTGACCAGTTCCCTGAGCACTGGGGTAGAGCCAGGCAATTACTTTCCCACACTGAACTTTCTAATCTTGTGCACTGTCCCCTGAGCTGTGTCCCTGTTTAAAAACCCTTCCCACACAGAAAAGCCCTGCAAAGTTGAAATAGAGAGCAAAGATGAGGGAACAAAAATACCATTTTTTTTTCTCATAATTTGTTAAATGCTCACATTATTTTAAATGTAAGAGGCTTCTCTGATTGTATGTGGGTGCTTTCCAAGCTTACATTTGTGGTTTGTGAAAAGAGTCATAATTTGATGTGTTTCAGAGAGATACAGTCCAAGTATCTTCTGTATTGCTTCCAGGGCTTTTTTTGTGTTGATAGTTCAAATAGTTGACATTTCAAATGACAAATCTACTCTACTTTCATATGCAGGCTTCCACTGCTTACAGGTAATTAATCTGAAAGGAAGAGAGTTTCATCTGAGGGTCTTAACTATTGTTAAGTACTCTCTACTACTATTCTACTATTGAAATACTCTCTTCTACTTAAGTTGATACTTGTAATGACAGAATTTGGTGTGAGAAGGAAACAAATAATTGTAGGATTCAAAATGAGATTGAGAAGAAATGTACAAAACAAACTTTTACTAGACAGATAGATGTGTGGAAGGAGAAGACCATTTTGCTGCCTCACCCTCAAGACTGGGTCAAAATTGTCTCTTTAGCATATTTTTGCTGTACTGGGAGAGGTTCTGGAGCTCAGGCAACTTGGAAAGAAATGTGAATAATGGTTGGAGGAGGGGTTTCTGATGATGAAGGACTGTGTATTGACTTACATCACATGCAAAAGAGCAACATAAAATTCCTGTCCTGCTCAATATAAGAGATGTTGCCTGTGCAGTGCCAATTTCTGCACAGGTTACAGTGCCCTAAGAACATGCCTGGGAGGAAGCTTCAAAGTCTCATGACAGAGCTGAGAGTGGCTGTGCATAGATAAAACTGTGTCTGCAACTTAGCTGATCTTCTGACTCAATCCTTATGATTCAGGAAGGAAGCAAGGAAAAGGATTAATTGTTCTGTCACATAGTGCAAATTGTAAGGGGGTATCAAGAGTTGTTCTCAAAATAAATAAATACATTTGGGCTTATGCTGCTGTGAAAAGAAGGTACTCACAGGTAATTGTCTGTCTCTGGCACCCCTGAGAAAATTATTCATATAGTCATTTACAAGAGGGTACTAGTTAACAGACAGAAAGGTTCAGAATTCCTACCTGGTCAAAATTTGTAGGTTTTATAATGTACTTAATGAATAGAGAGAGGGATAGTGTATATACATTAATATAAACATATTAATGTGTGCAGTGTGTGTTTAATGTATGTTTATGGGTGAAACCGTTTCTAATCAATGACACAGGTCTCCATTAGACATGAGGGGAAGAAAAAAAGTAATGAATTTCTGAGTTGCAGACAGATAGACTAATGCCCTGTTTTCACTATTGCTGCCTCTTCTGGTAGAGCACTGAAGTGTTCCCAGAGGTAGACAGTTGTTTCATTTTTCTTCTTGGGCAAACTCCTGCAAAAATATTTTAAAAATCTGATATGCCCTCTGTTACAAATCTGATGTAATCTAGACTAGAATTCACATGTTCCTGAGTAGGTTGCATACAGCCTGAGCTTGGATGAAATGCCCAGCCAACGGGGATTTATTTCCATGGGATGCTGTCAGCCATCTAGACTTTGCAGCGTTAGGCTGCGGTGGTGAAGTCTCTTGGAAATGCTTTGTCTCCTGAGCGATATGACAAAGGCTTGGCTCTGCAGGAAGAGTGATCAGGGATACTTGAAGGAATGTTATTAGGCCTCAGTCAGAGCTCTGGAGTGTGGCTTTTTCTAACAATATGGTGAGTTACCTTTGAGATAAGCAACATGAAGTTCTGCTTTGGGGGGTGCTCCTGTGAAAAGGCAGGAGCTCAGTTCCTTCTGGTTTTCATTCTCCTGGGGATAATCCCAGGTAGCATGTTTTTGAAAGATAAAGCTGTTTTCTGCAGAATCAGAAAATACGTAGAAAGGAGATGTATATTTTTTTTTAATTAAGTTTGACAGTTCCATGAAAGCAAGAGATTACATTGTCCTGACAAAGGAATGGATTTGATGATATACAAGACTCTGTCTCCAGGTATTGTGAATTTGGTGGCTGGAAATGAGAAACAAATGTTGAAATAATAGAAAAAAAAGGACTGGATTAATTTCTCTTTGTTTATTTAGAAATTACCTTAATATCTTTGCTCCATTCCAGTAAAAGCAGAAATGTAGAGAAGGAGAAATCTGAAACATATTCTGTGTGCCATGCATGCATAAATAACTTGTTGTTATCAGGTGTGAATCAAATCCAAGTTTTAAGTATTAAAGGTCTCGCCAATGATATTTGCTCATTTTGCACGTGAAAGAGTGAGAAATGAGCATGCCAGCTGAGTGAATGAGTAGGAACAGATTACCTATGCAAAACACAGGTTTGACAGTGTGTGTTCTGGGTCATGGATACACAGTCACAAAGTTACTCCCTTAGTGCCTCTGTAGGATGTCAGGGAAACAACCTGGGAACCATGGCTTCATCAGGTAGTTCTGTAGGCTCTAGGTGAGGCCCACAGAAAGGACAAGCTCATCATGTTTGTTGTTTTGGACTTCTTGCCTTGGCTCTCCAACAAGTGTGATGAATACACTCTCTTTAGGGCTTCAGGAAACATGGGAGCTATGGCAGAACTTGAAAGGAATGATGACAGATACCACAGATATGTTCCAGCATGTGCTAACTTCAGGTTTTAAATCCAATCTGTTAAACTGAAATACATATGGCCTCAGCCCAGCATGGCTGCTCCTAGTAAGATTTCCAGGAAGCCAAACTACAGGCATTGTCTCACTAGCAGACAGGAGTAGAGTTAATTACAGAGCATGTACTAGGGCTGTCTTAGGCCTGGGTTCTACCATAGTGGTGGAAATAATTAATTATGCAAATAAGTAATTATGGATTCTTAAATGAAGAAAGTGACTAACTCTCACTGAGGATGCAGGTATAGAACTTGAAAAGGTTGTCTGCTTAGAGAAGGCAGTATTCCACCCTACAGCACTGGAAATAAGACGGCTGCTCTGGCATGAAAAGCTGGTAGTACTTGGTGTTATCAAGGTAGCAGGGATATTAGCTACCCAAAACCTCACCACTGGGGCACTGGCAACAGACTCTGACCTACCAGACACAGGGGCACTGAGGCTCTCAGCAGTTTTGTGTGTGCTGGTCAGATCTGACACTCTCCCCAGAGGCAGTTGTGGTAGGTCCCAGGACATAGGTGAGGAAGTAGTGCTGAGATCAAGCCCAGATCAAATCACAAAACAAGCTGCACACATAGACCTTGGGGCAGAAGGAAGCTGCAATACACCCAAATTATGTTCTTTACATTCTTTCAACCCATTTTCAGTATCAGATGCTGGACTTTAGTATTGACTAGGAGCTGGCAGACAACTGGTGGTCCAGTTATTAAAAAATGTCATGTCCAAATGTCATCTTTTAAAATTAATTTCCAAATGAAAATGCTGGATATTTTTTTATGAAAAAGTATTTGATTGCTGCAAAATCCGTTATATTAATGAGGATTCCTTTCCTCCAAATTGAGCATGAAAACTGCATGAGAAGTATGGAAAGCTGGCAAATAAAGAATTTAAATGCTAGGAGAACTGAAGTTATCTCTACAATTGTAATTCACCTTATTTGGTGTTGTGTAAAGATTGTGACATGGTGCTTAAATACATGGTCATATGTTGAAGCTTCTAGGAAACTCATCTCTCTCGTTGCACAAGATGAGATCAGTTGTGTTGTTTTTTGTAATAAGCAGTTTATAATCTCTGCTGAGCCCTACAATGTGTGTTCTCAAGCTCGTTTACTATGTAGTGTCCAAATTCTGATGGCAATATAATTAATTTCCTCATTTGAGGATTTAGTTCTTTCTTTTATTATTATTAGGCTTTCGCTAATATAGTTGAGGACTATCCCAGTCATGTTTCTTCACAGGTTTATCTGGGTAAGCAAAGTACAGAAGTGGAAGCGTCATTATTCCATGATTCTGTGATTAAAGCCTTGGTGGCAGAAGAATGTTTGTATCTTATTGAATCAGCAAGCCTCTATGGCACAGTAAGAAATGCTCAAGTGTTTCTTGTCCCTTTGCTGGCAATGGGAAAATTATAGAGTCTGGGGTTGGATGCTTGTTCCTGAAGGCAGCATATCACGCAGCAGGAGAATGTGTAGTCCTTTTTCTGTCTCTGGATGTATGCCATTAATTCTTCCCATTTTTCTTATTGGGCTATTAAATGCTCTCAGTGGTTAGTCAGTAAGATACTCTGCAGTATTTAGAATTGTCCATGTCCCAGGAAACATGAGAAAACTCTTCAGTTTTTTGTAGATATTTAAGACATGTAATTTTCAGGTTTCCATGATTTAAGGCAGGTGGTATTGGATTTTAAATGTAGAAAAGTGAGAATATTTGGGTTACTAGGAATGAGAGAAGTGCTATGTTAGAATCTTTGTTTTCTGAAGTGGGAAAGTGTTTTCATAGTGCTGCTCCTTTCCTTCCTCTTCCCTCCCCTTTCTTTCTCTTTTCTCTCCTTCTCTCCCCTTTCCTTCCTCTCCCCCTCTATTCTTTCCCTTTTTTCTTTCCCCTTTCCCTTCTCTTTTCTTTTTGCACTAAATCACTTCAACAAAAAGACAATCAGGTTTTATAGCTGCAATTCTAGATTATTCTGTGAGATAATAAATATGCAACACCTTGTACTCATTTACTTCAAATATTTCATTTGTGTATTTCCATATGCAACTGCTGTGTAACTGCGAAAATCCTGTGTTAGGGCAGGAAAAATACCAGAATGTGAATTGGTTCTCCAGCAAAATCAGACCTTTGAAACTGAACTC